TTATTATTATTATTATTATTATTATTATTATTATTATTAATTATTAATTATTAATTATTATTAATATTATTATTATTAATTATTATTATTATTATTATTATTATTAATCATTATTATTATTATTATTAATTATTATTATAGAGAACAGATGAATAAAAAGGAAACCAATTATAATTCGGAAGCAGTACGTAATTTGGATATTTGGTCGATCGAACTGAATGCTACATTTCGAGGTGGTATGAGAGCTTGGAACCGTACGGTTCAATTCTGGCTTGCAAATTATGTGTATAAACGTGTGCCGCGATCTTTGGGGTACTGTTAAGTTACATATTTATGGGAGTTTCTTTTCGATAAGTTTTTAAGAGGGAAAATGATAAGTAGAACATGAAGTGGTAGAAAACTTCTCAGCAAAAACAAAAAAAAATTTAGCTGAACTGTGATCTTTTGTTCTTTTTGTGAAGTTTACAAAATTCATAATTGAGATGTTTCAGAATGTTACTGACAATGTCAGTGAGTGCATTTTGGCATGGCATACATCCAGGTTATTTCCTATCTTTTCTTACGGTCCCCCTTTGCACACTGGCAGAGGACAGTGTTCTATCAGTAATGCCAAAGGATCGTAATGACAAACTACCGCTTTCGTTCATTATTTTGTAAGTCATTTGTAAATATATCTCATAAAAAACTCCCAGCTTATCTAAATGATTTGGCAAATTGCCTAGTAATCAATAAATCACGTGATTAATTGCATATTACACACAGGAACTATGTCGAAATAAGTGAAAATGGTAATTTGTTAACCAAATAAATCTCATTTTGTGTGTGGTACAGTATACTATGTATGTACCAAAATACTTGGAATATTTCTTGTCTTTCTCATTCTCCACTGTAAGCAAAGAACTGAATAACATCTAAAAAAATAAAACCAGTTATTAAGTCATCATTTCGCGTCTCTAAAAAGAGGCCATTTCTTTTGGAATTCGAAAAAAAATGTGAACATTACGAGAAAGGAAAGTTATGCATTTTTTTTTTAAATCATTTTAAAAGAAAGAATTGAAACTGATAGATATAATGATTGTTATGACAATCAAAACGAGCAAAATATGAATTTTACAGAACTTATGTTTTAGTATTAGTGATTTTGTTGTAGTTGGTATATCATACGACAACTTGGTTTTGCATTAATGGCATCGGGGTTTTTGTTACTGACGTGGCGTGACACTATTCGTTATTGGAATTCGGTGTACTTCCATGTACACTGGATTATGATTACAGTTATTGTATTCTCATGGTTTTACAAATCATTGGTGGTTTCAGCAGGTTTGAATTCATGATAATTATAAAGCAAGATTTTAAGTGAACTGGCATTGAGAGAATAAACCAAAAATGTTTTTTTTTTCCTTAAAAAGAGAAAAAATATTAATTACTGATTCTTCATAGCCGTTCGTTCTTTCTACTTTGCTTGCATGAGTATCCGGATACCCAGACGATGTCTGTGTATCCATGAAGACATCTGCTCTCAGTTTCTCTTCCTAATAATTTGTACCTATTCGATCATCGTAAATATGTATAATCCTTTTATATTAGCAGTGGTCATTTCTACCTAAATTTAATCAGTCAACTGGTAGATTGCCTTCTCTGTCCTTACCATCTATTAGATATTGTGAATACTGTGGCTCCATAGCCACAGTATTTTAGTTATTGTTTGTTTTTCACTGCACTGCGATGATAGCCTCAGGTTTCGTCTAAATCAAGATCATTCATTGGTTTATTACTTTTGGAAAATTTGAACCAAATTCCTTACTTTTATAAATGTTATATTTCTAAATCGCAAAAATATGCTAACCTTATTTCAGGAAGTACGAAGTCATTCAAAGCAAATGTTAAGGCGAAACTAGACAACAGTTCAATTACGAAGGTACTTTGCTGACGATATACCATATTTGTTGACGATTACGATATTGTAGGGATAAACCAGATGAATTTTAAATATGAAATAAGGATGGATTGAATAATGAATAAGCTTGATTACTGAATTTTATCTTTAGGAAGAAGCCGGTGATTCGATGGTTAAAAAAATGGATTGAATGAGTCTTTTATCAGTCGAAATCCTATAGAAAGTTTGATTTTCTTTTGAAGTGAACCACATGAAGACAATCTTCTGGACCAGTCAATTTATGCCTCATTCGGAAAATTTTTTGTAATACCGGATTCGACATTTTAGTTTTTAAATTGTAGGGATCCTTACTGCTTTACTAGTTTATTTTATGATATTTTTTGCTTGTGCGAGATTTGTGGGAAATGTTTGTTATACAAAATTCCGGTTACTTTCTTTTATTTCTGTGTGCAAACTGCATCGATTAAGCAGATCAGAATAATGGGTATAAATATGCAAGTAGTTATGGTGATGTTAATTTATTATTTCGACTACCTTTTTGGCTCCCAACAAAACAAGAGTAGTTGTATTGAAGGAATATCAATGTTTATAGAGTCATTCGTATACATGAATATATCTATGCTTTGTTATAGTAAAAGTTCTGATTGTGGTTATTCTTATATGTTGCAGATAAATGGTAAGAGCTGAAAAAAGTAGTATTATCTTCTGTTTCGCAGAAATGCTGATTGATTCTGATGATATATATGAATCTCAGTTCTTTCTTTTAATCTCAGTTTCTCCTTTTGTAAGAATGTTTGTTCGATTGCTTTCTCAGCTTTTTTTTTCTTTCGTTTTTTTTTCTTTTTTCGTATTATGAACCTTCTTACGTGATTACATTTTTGAAACGCGTGTTTTTTTTCCCATTTTGTTTTCGTCAGTAAAGGAAAAACATTTTTTCTTAAAGAATTCCCTGTGGAGTGCCCATCTTTATACTTAATGAAGGTGTTCAAACTGTAGTCAAGAAATAATTCGGAAATGACTTTTGAAGGGTTGTACATTTAGATTTTCGGCAAATAAGAATTCGTGATCCAGTTATAGTCGGATAATAAGAATTCGCGATCAGACTGTGGTTGGGGAATAAGAATCCGAAATAATTTGTAAGGCTTATTCCTGTACATCTCGATTTTCAGCTAATGGAACAAAGTGTCGCAACGGACATGAAATCAGCGATGATCAGTGTGGATGCTAAGGAAGGATCGAGCAGTACAAGGAGAGTGCATCCAAAATTAGTATTACCGAATTCTTCTTCAAATGATAACGAAATGGGGCGAAGTTCTTGTGCTGAAATTCCGCAAGATAAACATAAAGGAGAAGTTAAGCAAGAGTACATATCGGACAAATGGGAGAATGTTGAAGCAGTTTTAGTGGGAAAGAATTCAAAGAAAGAGATGGTGAAGTCGAAATTTACTCGGATCAAGTCAAGAACGACGAAAAATTTGAATATAAACAAAATGAAAAAATCATGTGATAGCAGGAGCAGTGCTGGAACGAGAACTAGGAAATGGACAGGAATACGAGAGTCCACTAATAAAACAAAGCAGGACTCGAAGGAGGCATCTGTCAACATGGGTATAGCTTTAATTATGAGTAAATAAGGTTAATCCCTTGCCGTTGAATAAGCATAGTGGTTATAATTTTCAAGAGTACGGGAAATTAAACAAAAAGAATTTCTTGGAATAGAAATGACGAGATTTTCTGCCGAGATTACTTCAACTGAGGTAACTGCATATTTCAGACTACTCGACAGTACCAAAACGAAAATGTTCAGCGAATGTAATCTTAAAGGAGAATAGTTCAGCTATAGATCTCACCGCGCAAAAAGTGGTGGAAGCAGCTGTCGGATCAAGGAAAATGCTTGGAGTACATGTTAGTGTAGCAGGTATTTGATTTCTCTCTCATTTTGTTTGAAATTTCAAGAAAAAAATTTGACATGGGATGAAAACAAGAGATTTATTAGATCCGTTGAGTTGAATATTAAACAGGACGGTTAGATATGCACAATAAACATTTCATTCAAAGGAATTGTTATAAAGATCGTCATATCGAGTATATATATTAGCATTTGAATGAAAAAGTTTTGCTCCAGGTGGTTTAGAACAAGGTTTTTACAACGCCTTATCTATTGGATGCCGATCTTTTGCTTTTTTTGTCCGAAATCAACGTTCATGGAATAGTCCACCCATGAAGGATGAAGTGGTGCAAGCGTTTCGTAAAACCGCACAGGTATGTTTGTTTACTCGACAATGATAACTTGTGGTACCTTTATGTTTGAGACGTGACATTGATGTATTGGTATAGGTATTACAGTAAAGTTATATTCTCGAATTTTTTCTTCTATAGAAATTGAAATTCCCAATGGATCAAATTGTTGTGCACGGGTCATATCTGATAAATGGTGGTAGTTGTGATATGGAAATACTGGACCGAGCTCGAGCGTGCATGTTAGATGAATGTAAACGATGCGAACAGCTTGGTATCATCTATTACAATATTCATCCTGGTAATGTATATTCACGTTTAAGTTTTGCTTTATTTTTATTGTGCTATTAAATTCCAAGGAATTCCATTAGAATAATGGAAGCCTTCATGGCATTTGTTTCCTTTCTTCTCCTGCTCAAAATACAATTTTGTCTCATATTTCTGTGGTAAATGGTTATAATTGCTATTATATTATGTCAAATAATTCGAAAAAACAAAATTTTAGGGATGATCATAGGAGAGAAAATGTCAAACAAGCCAAAAATTATTCTCTGTCAGCCTCCCAAAACTAATTAGACTGAAGATCACCATTCTATCCTATGGATAGATTAAGAAAAACGGCTCCTGGGGTAACACTGTAAAAGATCATTGTAAAGAACGATAGATCAGATAATTGACTGGTTTCTTTCAATTTGTTTTATATTGTAACATATTTTGTGGCAAACAAGCGATTTTTAGGATCTACGGCAGGGAAATGTACACGTGATGAATGCATCAAAACAATCGCAGCTACCTTGGATTATGTTATGGATCACACTGAATATATTACAATTTGTTTGTTTTTGGAATTCTTTCTAGCCTAAGTGTGAAAAAGAAACCTTTAACGATTTTATCTTTTTTTTAATTTTGCAGCATTTTTTATAGAAAAATATAATATTTTTTTTTAGTGATTGAAACAATGGCTGGACAAGGAAATACTATTGGTGGGAAGTTTGAAGAGCTACAACAAATTATTAACTTGGTGAAAAATAAGAAACGAGTGGGAGTGTGCCTTGATACTTGTCATATTTTTGCTGCGGGTTCGTTTTGTAACCCTTCCTTAGATTTAAGCATAGCAATTTGTAAGAAAAAAAAACGATTGTAAATCAAGGATAAAAACTTTACCACAAATTCAAATATTTCAATTTGCTGAAACCTATATCTACCGTACTAGGGTACGAATTTGCTAAATGCTCTTTTGTCCTATGTAAATAAGATATAGATTTAGGTGAAACAAAAGAGATATTGCTCGCCTTACAATGATTAGGTTCAATTAGCTTAGCCTGTAACTGTGAGATTAAACACAGTTCATGAATGGGTTAACACTAAGTTCATAGGATCTGGTTATGAGTGGTTGGACTTTCGGTAATACTAGATAGATTCAATTCCTGTGATTCTGAGTTTCCTCCACTGAGGGAGAAAATACCATCAATTCTATTGGAAGAGTTGTTAATTTAGCGCTGGATATACTTTGTTTCTAAAGTTTTATTCTAAATGCAAATTTTTGATTTTACTTAATCCTTCGAAATAAGTATCTTCATAGAGCAACAAAGATTCCTATAAAGTCTTTAATTATTGCTACCAATGGTTATGTCTCATCTCACTAAATTCAGGTTATGATATACGATCAGAAGACCGATATAAAGCAACTATTACCGAATTCGAGAATACTATTGGTCTCCAGTATCTCCGTGCTTTTCATATCAATGACTCATCGGGTAAACTTATTCAAACTATGGGATTCGGAATAATTTTAAATCTAGCTTTTCGTATTTTTGAACGATAAGAACCTATTCTTAAAGTTGCAATGTTTTTAGAAAAATCGGGCGTCATTATGACCGATGTGCGACTGCGATTACTATCGCTTAGAGACGCACCAAACTAAAAAACAAATTCAGATTTGCAGATCTGCTAGTATGGTAAATATAAGGCAATAAGTTTAGGTGATCTTGGCTCTAGATTGGACCGTCACGCAAATATTGGTAAAGGCAAGCTGAAGCTGGCAGCTTTTCGTCATATTATAGCTGATCCACGATTCGATGGTTTACCAATGATCCTAGAAACACCGGAAGGAGACTATGCAGGAGAAATGATTCGATTATATCAGTCATTGAATAGCAAACCACTGAAAGAACATAAGAAAGATATCCGATCATTCTTTTCACCCATATAAAGTTTTAGCTTATTTTTATTTAATTTACGGTTAAAATTGAATTTTGTATCATTTCCAATAAAGATCTCAGCTATTATTTTGTGCATTTTAGTGCATTTACCTGAAAAACTAATTTATCTTCGATAAACTGCTAGTATGGTAATGGTATATGTTCATTTATCCTAGATAAGTGTAACGGTGTCATTGATACGATTAGGAATGCTTTGCTCAATACTACGACTCCCGAGTTTTTTTTTTTTCGTAAAATTTATCGACTCAAAAGTGAACATATATCCAACAGCAGGTTGTTATGTGAGTTTTGATGATTCAATGATTTACATCCGAGTTTATAGGACTTGTTAGTGAATTTATCTGGATTTGATCCTCCCGCATATTTCCACAAACTTTTTAATTATTATCCGGTTATTTTCTCTTCATTGTGCAGCGTCCCTCTTCTTTAGTTTAAAAAGGATCATAAAATGATTAGTTACTCTTTTTGATGTATGTAAAGGGAGGTTCATTCATATAAATTTAAGTTATGATTAGCATATTAGTTGAATATTATCATTTTATTAGAATAGATTCTATGTTAGCATTGATGAAAAAGTTGGTCAAGAAGAGAATAATCAAGATTTAGCAAGGTAGAATTTTCTTCGTGTAGAATTGTTTCAGTCATTTAAAACCAGTGATTTTTAACCTTTTCCTGACCAGAGACCACTCCAGCTTTAAGATTTAACGGCAAATAAATTCTGTCAATTTGAAAATAAACTTTTAATCGAAACTTCTTAACATATTGGTTTATCAAATACTGATAAGGAAACAGACTTCTATTATTTTTTACTCGTATTGTGCTATCAGCCTTGTGATTCATGAGGTTGGGAACCGGTGAATTTAAAAGAGGCAACAAATTGAATTACTTTCCTTCCTCCTGAAGATATCTTGTCATCTGTAATTCATCTTAATTAATTAGCGACAAAAAGACAAGAGAATGAGAATGTGCAAGAAACTTGATTGTCTGATACATGATTCCATACATATTTCTTTTTTACTTTTGAAATATCATTAAGTTTCGATAAGTTAAACTGAGCATATATGTGAGTGTATGCGTTTGTGTCTATATTTGTATGTGTATGTGTGTGTGCGTGTGTGTGTATGTATGTGTGTATGTGTGAGCGTGTGTGGAGTTTCCAATTTTACCTGCAATAGTCTCAGATGACAATCACAAATATTGTGCTGTTCGACTTCGTTTCACTTTCATATATTCCCGACATGTATGCCATCACATCATCATTAGGTGACACAAATGACATTTACTTTATGATGGCTCAAATTTAACAAGGTACTTGTATTAAAAAAGAAAAAAAAACTACGAAGAATTAGATGGTTTAGAAGTTAGGTTTAATTTGAGGTGTTGCGGGACTGAATTTTTGACTTTTTAGTATAACGACGAAAGAGAAGGCCTATTTAACTGAATTAGATTAATTAAAATGTTTCATTTATCTAATCCATAGTTATTGGATTGAAATTCTTAATGTTTCAAAGAAAAAAAAGAAATGAATGCTTGTATGAAATTTTAAATAAACTGAAATTTCTTTTTCTTTTTTTCTGTTCAGTTTCAATTATCCGAAATCAATAAGTTAGGGTGATATTTTGTACAGTCTTTTGCAATGTTAATATGGGAGCACTTTTGCTTTCTTATCAGAATTATCTT